GAACAGAAAATCTTTAACCATTTCCGTTTCATTACACCCAGCTCAAAATATGCTGCTAAGTGCCCTCTACACCTGAGAGAATTAGGAATTCTGTTACTTCCCACAATTAGAAAAACCACCTTTACACATTTATCTGCTATTTTGACATATTTATTGCTTTACAACCGTTGACTTTACAGCCTTAACTTGTTGTTTAGTTTTTCCACATCGCATAACTTAAACATATTTATCTGCTATTTTTGACATATTTATTCCTCTACAACCGTTGACTTTACAGCCTAAACTTGTTATTTAGTTTTTCCACATTGCATAACTTAAACATCATCACGTTACATGTTGATTTGCTGTTTAAGTCCCTGTCTATAAGTTTAGAAACTCACCAATGTATTTGAAAAAGTGTGCCTTGCACACGGAAGCTCATACCTCGAACAAACCTTTGTTGGTCTTAAAGGTGCCGCTGGACTCCAAATTTGTTCTACGGCATCAGACCAACACGGCTGGCCACCTGGATCTAGAATTCATGACAGAGGCAAACCCAGAATTTCTCTGGTTTGCAGCTCAGTCTGTTAACCCTTATGCTGTCTTAGGTCTTTGAGATTTGTATTGTCATTCAGAAGACAGAGGCCGGTCTTTCTCTTTTGAGTTTACTGCCTGGCTTTTGACTCTTGTAATATGTGGGATCCTGTCAACACCACACCTCCAGGTGTCTGGATGCAGCAGTATCTGTTCTTAGGTGACACACCTCCAGCGGTGCCCGTTAAACAGGTTTAATTGTGTTTTTTTAATCCTGTTATGGGCCCAGGCAAGCCCGGATCTTGTCAGATCTCAGAAGCTAAGCAGGGTCTGGTTCGTCCTTGGATGAGAGACCACCAAGGAAGTCCAGGTTTGCTATGCTGAGGCAGGCAATGGCAAGCCACCTCTGAATGTCTCTTGAAAGCCATATGGTATTGCCATAAATTGGCTCTGACTTGATTGCTCATTCCACCACCATTGTGGGCTTATGTTTGCGGCAGAGATAATAACAATTATTTCCGTAGAAACCATAATCCTTTCTTTTTTTTGTGTTCATGCTTATATTTGAATAATACATAATTTAAAATATTTCGATATTTATACTCTGCTTTTATAGGGCAGCAAGCAAGTCTGGAGAAAAATGTCCTGTTCCTTTAATAGGCTCTTAATAGGGTTGCTATTAGCCTCCAAGACATGAGAAACTTCTGCTGCCCGTTTCCACACAATAAATCCCAATGCAAGGGACAGGACATTTTCCTCTGGGCCTGTTGGCAATCCTACTTTCTTACAACATTGGTCTTTTCACCCTCCTTTTATCCTCACAACAGCCCTGTGAGGTAGGTTAGGCTGAGAATCTGAAGACGTGTGCAGTGCATGCACACGGAAGCTTATACCTTGAATAAAACTTCGTTGGTCTTAAAGGTGCCACTGGACTCAAACTTTGTTTAACCCAGTGAGTTTATATAATAGAATGGGAATTTGATCCCAGGTCTCTAGATCCTCATCCAACACTGTAATCACTACTCCACGCTTGTGGTTCATAGAGCCTTTAAAAGCCTTTGTATTCATAAGAACATAAGAGACGCCAATGTTGGATCAGGCCAAAGGCCCATCCAGTCCAACACTCTGTGTCACACAGTGGCCAGAAATACCAGTGCCATCAGGAGGTCCAGCAGTGGGGCCAGGACATTAGAAGCCCTCCCACTGTTGACCCCCCCAAGCACCAAGAAGACAGAGCATCACTTGCCCCAGAGTCCCTATCTATACCTTGGGGCTAATAGCCACCGATGGATCTCTGCTCCATATGCTTATCTAATTCCCTTTTGAAGCCATCCATGCTTGTAGCCGCCACCACTTCCCGTGGCAGTGAATTCCAAGTGTTAATCACTCTTTGGGTGAAGAAGTACTTCCTTTTATCCGTTCTAACCCGACCGCTCTGCAGTTTCATGGAGTGCCCACGAGTTCTTGTATTGTGAGAAAGGGAGAAAAGTACCTCTTTCTCTACCTGCTCTTTCCCATGCATAATCTTATAAACCTCGATCATGTCACAGTCGTCTTTTCTCCAAGCTAAAGAGCCCTAAGCGCTTTAACCTTTCCTCATAGGGAAAGTGTTCCAACCCTTTTATCATTCGAGTTGCCCTTTTCTGCACTTTTTCCAAAGCTATAATATCCTTTTTAAGGTGTGGTGACCAGAACTGCACACAGTATTCCAAATGAATTCCATGGAGAGTTTCTTCTCCTTTTTTTGGATAGGTAGAAACATTCAAAATTCAGCAGTTGTTAGGAATGGTGTGCTACCTGCTTCCTCGGTGAGAGAGAAGGTATTGTGCCTGCCAGACAGATATGTTTAGAGAAACTTCAGTACTGGTTGGAAGTGCCTTATTGCCACAACAATCCTGTAGAGAAGGCTGGATAATAGGTCCTGGCCATTTTACAATAGCCACAGTCGGACAGCTTGCAAACAGATGTACTTCAAATGTTACATGGCGTGGCAGAGAGCTGGTTTGAATTATTGGTGGTGAGAAGGCAGTGAATTTACAAGTGAAATATTCCCTAACAGAGAAGGGCTTCTCTCTCTGCCGGCTCCCTTTCCCACCTGTTCACACCTTGGAGATGTTAATGTCTTGCCTGCTGCCTGTGGTGATTTGTAAAAGAAGGAACATCTGCAAGGTTACCAGCTTTTTTCACTTACTCTTTTCCTGTGCATTTGAAGAGAAGCCTGAGACACAGGGACGTCTGGCAGGTGAACGTTTTCCTGAGATAGTGGCTAAATTTCTGCATGCCGGCTTGTTATTCAGGGCCAAGAACAGATTAGAAGAAAAAGTCTTCTCCAAGCAAGGCTGCCTTTGATCACTTTTAGATTTATTTTTATCTACTTCGTTTATACTTGCCTTTCTTCTCAGTGGGAACCCAGAGCAGCTTACATAGTTCTCTTCCTCTCCATTTTGTCCTCACAACAACCCTGTGAGGTAGGTGGGGCCCTGAGTATGTGACCGGCCCAGCCTTACCCAGCAAGTTTATGTGGCGGGGGGTGGGTGGGATTCGAACCTGGTTTTCCTCCTCCCTAATCCTAGCCCAGCAGTTTTAACTACTGCCTCATGTCTTCATGCTTGCCTCATTGGAGACCCTGTTTGGCTGGGAAGGTGGCATTAGACTGTTTTTTAAATAAATAAAAAGCACCATGTTTTCAGCTTGTTCTCGAGACACCTTAAAGATGAATAAGATTTTATTCTAGCACGGGGGTGGCCAGACTTTCTTAACATAAGAGCCACGTAGATATAAGCATCAGATGTTTGAGAGCCACAAGACACGAACAAATATAACCCACACGTGTTTACTGAAAAATATGCAGATTTGCTTTTTATTAACATTAAACGAGACTGCCAAAAATTTAAAAAAGGGGTAAAAACAGATGTTGATGACGATATTTAACTTTAGATGGGGAGGGAGGGGAGAAAGAGAGAGAGAAGGAAAGAAAGGTGGAAAGAAAGCAAATGGATGAAGGGGAGGGAGAGGTGGAAAGAAAGCAACTTTAAATGCATCTTCCAAGACCCCCATGCCCCCCCCCCCCGGACTGGCTTTTTTTTTTGATAAGAGACACCTGCCTCCTCCAAGCCGGCCAGTAGGGGGGAGGTCTTTAAGAACGCATTTAAAGTTAAAGTCGCTTTCTTTCTCTGCTCCCCCCATCTCAAGCCTACCGAGGGAGGGGAACACTGGCTGGGGAAGGGAAGACCATTTGTGGAGGCATGCCTCCCTTTCGCTTCCCCAGCTGCCCTGCTGGGAGCTCCACAATATGTGTGAAAGAGCCTCATGCGGCTCCCGAGCCACAGTTTGGCCACCCCTGTTGTAGCAGAACCTTTTGTGGACGTCTTCAGATGTTGCTCAAGAATAACGCACAGTGTCCTCCTAAGCAGAAGGTCACCTCCGTGCTTGAGAGGAGACAGACTCTTACCATTCCACAATTGTCCCCCGCCCCCAGTTGAACCTAAAAAGATGACAGCCATATATTCTGAGCTTCTTATTCTTTTAATCTGTTAAAAACACCTTCATTATTCCGTATGCTGATTTACTGCCCACCCTCTCCCTGCACGGTTATTATTTCTATTTCCGTATCGTTGTATCTGAGGAAGTGTGCGTGCACACGAAAGTTCATACCTTGAATAAAACCTTATTGGTCTTAAAGGTGCCACTGCACTCAAACTTTGTTGCACTGTTTTGAGTTCATTGAAGTCACTGAGTTTAGGAGGCTACTTGGGATATGCTGGTTCCGAGAACCTCAAGGGTGGGCCTTCCCAGGGAGGCACAGGTAGTTGCCGGGGGATCAAGAAACTTCTTTGTGATCCATCGGAATGTTACCTCGGCATGGAATCTAGGGACTGGTTTATTCGTACTACGGTATGCCCAGCCAGGGCCCTCTCTTTGCACGGAGGCAGCAGGTTTCTTGTGCTCTCAACATCTGTATTTCCTTCCTGCTTCTCCACAGTGTGCAGAGATAATGTTGTGTACTGTTCTCTTTTGGGGGAGTGCACGAATGGAGATTATCCTGACCCTCAGTCTATTAAGAACAGTATTGTCTACTCTGACTGGCAGCACCTCTCCAGGGTCTCAGACAGAGATATTTCCCATCACCTACTACCTGAGGCTTTTAACTGGAGATGTCAGGGATTGAACCTGGGACCTTCTGCGTGCTGATCAGCTGCTCTGCTGCTGAGTCACAACCCCTGCCCCATTCCACCTTGGTGGTGGACAGCAGGTTGTGCAGCTTTGAAAGCTCAGTGTGAACAAGAAGGGAACTGCTTCTTATGTGTATAAAGAGCTTGAGCCTTGATATCAATAGCGTTTTCCAAGACTGGTTTATCATTCTGGTTGGGTTCTGTCAGTTACAGTCGCTACACCTTTTCTTACCAGCTTGGCATGTTCTCATTTGACACAGCTGGCTTACACTTAAAAAAAAATTGTGTTTCTCTCTCTGTACTTTCAGGATGGTGGAAAGCTGAAGCACCAAACGCCAAAATGAGTGTGACGTCTTGGTTTTTGGTGAGCAGCACCGGCATTCGACACCGGCTACCCCGGGAGATGATCTTTGTTGGCAGAGAAGATTGCGAACTGATGCTCCAGGTAAATATGCCTCTCTTTAGCTCTTTTCTGGATGAGAGTGTGTGTTCAAAAGTGCTGCGCCACACAATATTGGCTTCTTGTAGTTTGAGTTTGGTTGTGGAACTCGCTGCTGCGCGGTGGGAGCTGTGCAGGTGGGGACATGGGGACATAGTGTTGTGTGCACCGTGACACCACTGCCAGAAAAAACCCGGAAGCAATATTGGCCAGCTCTAGGAATCCTGATGTTTTTGCTGTCGTGATGTTTTTGGTGATGTTAGTGCTGATTTTTGTCGTGATGTTTTTGCTGATGTTAGTGCTGATTTTTGATGTGATATTTTTGCTGATGTTAATGCTGATTTTTAATTATTATTTTTTTTGCCCCACCACTGCTCTGAGCGGTGGCAGACAACCAGGGCTGCCGGTGAGAGGTTTCCTGCTGTAGCGGGAGGTCTGGCAGCCCTATTGCCACAAGATGGGGTAGTTTTTGTCGTGATGTTTTTGCTGATGTTAATGCTGATTTTTTTTTTTGCCCCACCACTGTTCTGAGCGGTGGCAGGCAACCAGGACTGCCGGTGAGAGGCTTCCCGCTGTAGCGGGAGGTCTGGCAGCCCTATTGCCACAAGATGGGGTGGCAATCATTGGTTTAGATGGATTTTAAAAGGGATTAGACGGATTATGGAGGAGAGGTCTGGTATTGTCTGTGACAAACGGGACTAATGGGTTAAGAGGCAGACTGCCTTGGGTGGCCAGGGGCCCCAGAGCCCACGCTTGTGAGCGTCCTTTTGGCATCTGGTTGGCCAAGATGTAGTCCTGTATGGCATCTGGTTTTTTGGCCACTGTGTGACACAGAGTGTTGGACTGGATGGGCCATTGGCCTGATCCAGCATGGCTTCTCTTAACGTTCTTATGTCACATCCAGTAATGCTTCTCTTTGTGTTCTAAATCTAACCATAACTGGCACTGATAAGAGCAATTTAGTATGCTCAATTTATTTCAGTATCATTATCGCAGAAGGTTAGGGTTGCCGGCTCTCGGTTGGGAAATTCCTAGAGATTTGGGGGTGGACCCTGGGGAGGGTGGGGTTTGTGGAGGGGGAGGAACATTAGTGGGGTATAATGTCATACAGTCCATCCTCCAAAGCAACCATTTCCTCCAGGGGAAGTGATGTCTGTCATCTGCAGATCAGTTGTAATTGGGGGGGGGGGATCTCCTGGCCCCATCTGAAAATTGACAACCCAGAAGAAGGGTGATAAGACTTGGAGAGAGTGGCCCGGCTTACAGTTCATGCTCTTAGACCTGATTAAAGGGTTTCCTGGCATGAATGTTAAAGTCCCACAGCGGGCTTTGTACTTAAGTCAGGCTTCAGTCAGTGTGGTAGGCCGGCTTTTGATGTGATACGGCTGCAGTCCGATAGAGAGGGGGAAAGTCCTGCTTTGCGGGGAAGGCAAGGTACAAATCTGACAATAAATAAAATAAATAAATAAAAGTCCGCCTTATCAGGTGAGACAAAGGGAGGTAATCAAATTCACTCAAACAAGTGTTGTCCCTTAATCCCGCTAATTTCATTATGAACTGAGTTGAACAAAAGTGTTCTCTTTTTCAAATCTTAATTTTAACTGTTACAAGAGAGATCCCTAAGCATCTAGTTTCAATCATTTCAAAAGCACAATTCAGATTCCTTCAATCTTCATTTTCCCTTGCCCGGTCTCTTTCGCAGTTTATAAGGATTTTTAGGAGCTGCTGCTCCTTTCTTGGATAGAGTGTCCTCTCTGGAAGACCCAGGGTCCAGCTCGCCACGAGGTTCTCTTTAGTCTTCATGGCTAGTAGCCACTGATAGACCTCTTCTCCACGAATCTGTCTAATCCCTTTTTAAAGATGCCTGTGGCCATCGCTACATCCTCTGGCAGCGAATTCCACACTTTAATTTGCTTGATTTCTGTCATATACAGTATTAGAGGTTACTGTCTTTCACTTATAGTGGCTTTTTTTAGCCCTTGGATTTTTATTTCATGCTTTTATTTGGATTGGTTGCCTCAGGAAATGGTTAGCTTAAACATATGGAAATTTTAAACTTAATTTTGTTAATGGGGATGCAAGAAATTATCTATGCTTGCTGTACAAATCAGAAGTATTCGAAATACTTGTGAGGATTAAAGAGTATGCAGTGCTGAAGTTTAGGTAGCCATTAAGTAAGGTTAGTGGAAGACGGAATTTGTCTTATTTTGAAGGTTTAGGTTGGCTGCGCAGAGCTGATGTGGACCAAATCCTGTCACCCTTTGTGCGCCAGAAATTCAGTGCGTTTGCGTTGAGTGCCGTATTTAGAACTGGAAATGCTCCCAGACTTGTGGAGTTTGTACATGTCCCACGACTGTTCCAAGCATTCCGGCTAGCGCCAGAAGATCCAGCATTAATCATAGGTGCAACTGCCAAGGAGGAGAGTTTTAAAGGAAGATAGACTGATATTATTTATTTAGAATTTTTCCCCCCATGTTGCTTCTTCAGAGATCTGCTCGAAGCGACTTCCAGCTCCCCTCCCATACAGGTTTTCTCTTCCTTCAAATTGCTTTGGCTGATATATTTCTCTCATTTGGGAACCAAGACTGTAATCCTCAGAATGGGAGTAAGCCCCATTGAGTAGACCTAAATAGGATTGCACTCTTGGAAGTGGAGCATACAGAAATGTTTGCTGGAGCACACCAATGTGCTGCTGGAGGTGGGATCCCCAAACATTTGAGCCTGTGGGCACATTTGGGATTCTGTCACTGCCTGGTGGGTGCAGCCACAGCGTACCTTCAGTCACTCAGTGACAGCTGGTTGCCAGAACAACATTTTTAAACAACCTGCACAACCCATCAAATCTCCCAGCGGCCAATCAGAATCCTTGCTGGTCTTGCTCGCTTTCTAAAAACAGTTGGCGGGTGCCAGGAAAGGCGTTGGCGGATGCAGTCATGCCCACCGGCACCGTGTTGTGGGGAACCCTGTGTTAGAAGGACTGAAATGGGCTTTGCCCAAGAAAACCACTATGGGAAGAGCATCCACCTTTCTATGCCCTGTACAGCATTGGTTTCCCCATCTCTCTGGTCACTATCCTCCAGGGAGAAGTAGTAAGGAAACACTGTAATTTCCAGCTGCTTACAGCTGGGAGAAATCTCGGAAGTATCCGTTGCCTAGAGCAGGCCCGTAGCCAGGATTTTGTGGCTCGTGGGGCAAAAATGTTTCTGGTGGGGCTGTCATTTTTTTGCCATAATGAAGGGGGAGTGGTGCGCACCCCTCTCCCTCCCCTCCTGCAAAAAAAGGGCCCTTGAACTGATCTGCGGGGAGCATGTGGCCTGATCAGCTGGTAAAGGTAAAGGTAAAGGTTCCCTTGCTCGAAAGCCAGTCGAGTCCGACTCTGGGGTTGCGGTGCTCATCTCCGTTTCAAAGCCGAAGAGCCAGTGCTGTCCGAAGACGTTTCCGTGGTCCTGTGGCCGGCATGACTAAACAACAAGGTGCATGGAACGCTGTTACCTTCCCACCGAAGTGGTACCTATTTATCTACTTGCACTTTCTTGCTTTTGAACTGCTAGGTTGGCAGGAGCTGGAACTAGAGATGGGAGCTCACTCCATCGTGCGGCACCCAGGTCTCGAACTGCTGAACTACTGACCTTCCACAGCCTGCAGTTCAGCGTCTTAACCACTTGAGCCACCGCAGCTGGAGGGCCCTTTGAATCTTGTAGGAGGGGAGGGAGGGAGAGGGTCACGTTCCACCCACCTGCTTCTTCTCAAAAGCATTTAAAAGATCCCTTCAAATGCTTTTGGGAAGAAGCAGGGAGGCCCTTTAAGAAGCAAGGGGGCCCTTTAAGGAAGGGGGCGGAGTCCAAAATAGCCCCACTGTAGCTTCGGGCCAGGCCTAGAGAGCACAGTCTCATCTCTGAACCTTGACAGAGTGGGGAAAAGGGATAGAGGGAAACTGAAGAAATCTTACTTGGGTGCTTCCACATTAGATATACTTCCCATTGTTTGGCAGTAGATCAAGATAATGTACGTGTGTCTTTTTTGAGTGTCCAAATGCTATATTTTTTAATCCTGAAACCAAAGCTGTCTTTTTTGGTATTAAAAGTCTAGGGCGTACTGTTGTAGTAGTTACTCTGTGATTAGATGCTTCATGAGTTGGCTCTATGTTGTGGGAGCACACTGTTAGTAAACATGATAACTGGATGTCGGAAACTCAGATTTGGGGTCCGGAGCAGATTCCTTTTCAGAAAGAGCGTCTACGTTGCGTCATGCATTGGTTTTTGTCCTGTCTGGTAGTGAGAAATCAGTGTTCCCTCTAAGCTGAGTTCGTGTGAGCTAGCTCACAGTTTTTTAGCCTCTGGCTCACACATTTTTGTTTTAGCTCAGGAAGGACGGCTCCAGACCAAACTAATTTGTGCAGTAGCCAGAGCACTTGCTCACAACTTTTAATGCCAGTAGCTCACAAAGTAGAATTTTTGCTCACAAGACTCCACAGCTTAGAGGGAGCATTGGCTGAGAATAAGCATGATTTCATGTGCAGTACTTTTTCGTGGTAAATAATGTGCTGTTGGCAGGGCATGCCCAAAGCTATTTGTGCTCTGATCATAGCTAGACTATTACAACTTGCAGTATGCTGTGCTGCCTTTGAAGACTGTTCAGCTGGTGTTGCAGATCTGAAAGTCACTGTTCTACAGAAAAACTTTGAAAGGAATGTACAGTGTGAAAGTGCTGGATTAGAATGTACCAAGAAACTAAAGACCCTCTGTCATCCAGGCTTAAACAAAGACTTGGGTTTCCTCACTTTTCTATTAACCCTACAAGATCCTCTTTAATAATATCAGTAGACTGTTCATAACATGTTGTATCATGCCATATGCCTGTACTAATGTTGGTCAATTAGGCTTCAGGCTGTCTTCCTTAAGTAGTTTTTTTACTCTACTTTATTATCCTTTTGCTTACTTTTTTTTTTTTTTAATAAGGAAACCAAAATGGTTTAATTTTGCAGTGCTGACACAACGCAAGTCCTT